GGTGCCCCTATAACTTATACTTAGAGAACAACTGTTTGACTATTCATAGCTTTTTTCTATGTTTTTGGATTTTTGGAACCCAAGTATCAATTTTGATAACATAGAGATCTTTGCTTCTGGTATAGCAATTAAATTTATTTCAGTTGAGTAGTAGAGTTATAGGCCTCTAATTGACTGACAAAAAAATGCCTTAAAGTGAAAGGAAAACTGAAGGTAGGAAATATGTGTGATCTGTGGAAAAATTTATTTTATAATCATGTTTATTCTTTAGCTAAGCTTCTAAAATTGTGTGTATCTTTGAATATGCAAAACTATGGTAAAACTTAGCATATCTTCTAGAGCTCTGTTAACTCAAAGATATTGGGGGAAACATCATTTTCACATTAAAACAGATATATATTATGAAACAGAATTCAAAATCACATGAATTTTTAAAAATAAAACAAATGACTTCAAAGAAATTTCACACTTGCAATAGATCCCTAAGGGTGTTTGTTCAATCTTCTCTTCCATTTGGAGTACTTGGGTAAGAAAAGTTCATGAAGCATTACCTAAAGAATGATACAATGGTTTTGTTTTGGTTTGGTTTCACTTATTTATCTATTTAGGTTTTATCAGGAGCAGGGAGGCAAGCAGGCAGGGTAAGGGAGTAGTAGAGTACCTAACTTTCTTCTAAATAGACATTCTCATATCCCTTATGAAGTTCAGCATCAAACACTACAGTGTAATTTTATTACAAGTGAAATTAATAAAATAATATTGCTCTGGTCATTTTATTTGAGGTTAAATTACAAATCTGCAGGTCCTTTCATTCACGTTTGACATACCAATGAGCCTTTAGAGAGAAAAGAAATGATTGCTATAGAAATTCTGATGCCTTTAAAATATTTAAAATACTTTTTTTTAAAGATTTTATTTTTTTATTTGAGAGCGAAAGTGACAGCACAGGCAGTGGGGAAGGGGAGAGGGAGAGGCAGACTCCCTGCTGAGCAGGGAGCCCGACACAGGGCTTGATCCCAGTCCTGAACCAAAGGAAGACTCTTAACTGACTAAGCCACCCAGGTACCCCTAGAATACTTTTGATAAACCAAATTACCTCTCCCCTGATGATTAGTTTGTTTTTTTTTTAAAGATTTTATTTGTTTATTCATTTATTAGAGAGCGAGCTAGAGAGAAACAGCATGAGAGGGTAGAGGGTCAGAGGGAGAAGCAGGCTCCCCGCTGAGCCGGGAGCCCGATGTGGGACTCAATCCCAGGACTCCAGGATCATGACCTGAGCTGAAGGCAGTCGCTTAACCAACTGAGCCACCCAGGCACCCCCCTGATGATTAGTTTTAACGATTGTGTGTGTGTTTATTTTGTGTGCATAATTATATATATATATAAATAGATAGATATAGTATTAAGCATTGCTGGTTTACTAGACATATTTTATAAGTTTCTTTATTGTTTTCCCTACCACTGTGGCTATCACTTTAACTTTGAGCTTTACGGATTTTTACCATTTGATTTAAAACCTCTATTGTTTTATAGGTTGGCTCCAGGGATTAAACCAAAAGAGTTAGTAATGTTTAATTAAAACTATTCCACTCAACAGGGAAAAATTATATTAATGTATTTGAAAGCACTATTAATCCTAAGGTTTCACATAAATATGAAATGGGTTTCACTTCAGTTAAATTAGTGCCATCCTACAAAATAAAAGCTGTCGTTTCTTATAAAAAGTATTAATTTCTTATGAATTAAATCAATTATAAATTTTCATGACCAACAATACCTTTTGATATCTGCCATCTTTCCATGTCATATTAGTAACTCTGATTAGCTATTTATCTACTCTGACTTCTTTATAAAAAGTTCAGACTAGAAGAAATATTGTAGGGAAAAATGCATGAAATAAAGGAAAAGGGGGCACTGGGGTGGCTCAGTCAGTTGGGCATATGCTTTGGGCTTGGATCATGATCCCAGGGTCCTGGGATCAAGCCCCACATCAGGCTCCCTGCTAAGCGGGGAGCCTGCTTCTCCCTCTGCCTCTGCTGCT